TTCTTCAGCAACTTAATCATTAAAGCTCAGCGTCTTTTTTATTTATTTCGACATACATTTCTTTTTATAAGTTTTGTTGAGGCTTTTAAATAATAACGATCAAACTAACGAATTTTAGATGTATTGTGTTTTGGAATATTATAAAAAGAAATGTATGTCGAAATAAATAAAAAAGACGCTGAGCTTTAATGATTAAGTTGCTGAAGAAGTCCCAATAAAGGGACGAAACGTCCAACTCAATTAAATTAAATTCTACTTCTTTTCATGTCCAAGTTCCCTATGAAACTTTATCATCAAAAATTATAATTTTGGACGAGAGAAAATACTACAAAAATTATATATAGAATTTATTTAAAAATATCACTTATTTCTTTTCTCTCTAGTTTTATATTCACAAATTTAATCTACAATAACATAGAATTGTATTCAATCTATATAATTATATAGAAAATTTATTCAAAAACACATCTTATTTCTTTTTATACTGTTATTTTAGATTCACAAATTTATTCTACAATTAGATATAAATAGTATTTAAAGATATCACTTATTTCTTTTCTAGTTCCTTTTTGTATTCACTAATTTAATTCTACAAAATTAGATATAGAATGTATTCAAAAAACATCTCTTACTTCTTTTCCTGTATTTCATTTTGTATGCACAAATTTATTCTACAATTAGATATAGAATGTATTTAAAATTATCTCTTATTTCTTTTTCTTTTCTTTTTTTTTCTAACAAATCATTTACTTGATAGATAACATTCCATGCAAAGTAAACCTATACCTATTAATAAATCAATTTTAAGATTTATCGCGTAGGAGATTATTTTAAATAGAATTTTTGCAGATACTAACTTTTCTTCTCAGTTGCTTTTGAATAACGTCGAGTAGACCGTTTAACAGATACTGCTTGTGTAAAAGAAAATTGTTTCTAATGAAATCGTATGACGATCGGTTTGATCTTATAAGAAAGATAACATTAATGATAAATAGAGAAATCGATTGCATTCGACAAACATATATATTATATTTCCTTAGAAAAACTTTAGTCATACTTTAACAATCTTAAAATACAAAGATATTGAATAATTTTCTTATTTTATAACAACCTACAATATATTATACAGTTTAATTAGTTATATAGTTTAGTTACAGTATTATATAATTTAGATAAATGTTAATTATTTATTAAAATAATTCTTTATACATTTTACGTGATAAAAATTAATTAATTAATAAAACCAAAAAAAGAAGAATTTTTTATTTTATTCAACAATATTATAATTTAGATAAATATCGAATATTTTCTAAAATCATTCTTTATATATCCTACGTGAAAAAAAATTAATTAATCAATTAATAATACAAAAAAAAAGCAAAGAAAATTTTCTATTCCAATCTACAGTATTATAATTTATATAAATATCGAATATTTTCTAAAATCATTCTTTATATATCCTACGTATGTGATAAAAAAAAAATTAATTAATTAATAATACCATAAAAAGAAGAATTTTTTATTTTATTCAACAATATTATAATTTAGATAAATATCGAATATTTTCTAAAATCATTCTTTATATATCCTACGTATGTGATAAAAAAAAAATTAATTAATTAATAATACCATAAAAAGAAGAATTTTTTATTTTATTCAACAATATTATAATTTAGATAAATATCGAATATTTTCTAAAATCATTCTTTATATATCCTACGTATGTGATAAAAAAAAAATTAATTAATTAATAATACCATAAAAAGAAGAATTTTTTATTTTATTCAACAATATTATAATTTAGATAAATATCGAATATTTTCTAAAATCATTCTTTATATATCCTACGTATGTGATAAAAAAAAAATTAATTAATTAATAATACCATAAAAAGAAGAATTTTTTATTTTATTCAACAATATTATAATTTAGATAAATATCGAATATTTTCTAAAATCATTCTTTATATATCCTACGTATGTGATAAAAAAAAAATTAATTAATTAATAATACCATAAAAAGAAGAATTTTTTATTTTATTCAACAATATTATAATTTAGATAAATATCGAATATTTTCTAAAATCATTCTTTATACATCCTACGTGAAAAAAAATTAATTAATCAATTAATAATACAAAAAAAAAGCAAAGAAAATTTTCTATTCCAATCTACAATATATCAGTTTATATTTTTATTTCATTTATTGTATTTTATTTCTCATATTAATAATGTAATTTTTTAATTATATCTTTTAAAATTATTCCCTTACATGATAAAAAATTAATTACTTAATAAAACAAAAAAAATAACAACAACAATAACAACAATATCGTTAAAAATATTTCAAATAAAAATAAAAGAAAAATATTCTATTTATATCAAAGATATTTACTCTTTGAAAGATATTTTTTGTTACACAAGAGAGAAAGAAAGAGATGCATCTAATTTATCTAACTGCATCTAATTCCAGTGTTATATACGTATATATATATAATAATGCATTTATGCATTTTCATCACGGTCAATAACGTTCGTCACAAGGCACACTCAACGATCGTTTGAATTTATTATTTGCCGACAATAAGCCGATCAAGAAACCCAACGACCTCAACGATAAATCTAATGTTTCTTCTATGTTCGAGAAGAGAAACTCGTGTTTTTTTTATCGTTTTCATTTTTTATTTTTTCTTTTTCCTTTTTTCTTTTTCTTTTACAACGCGCGATTTCTCTATCAATAAAATATAATTTTATTGATTTTATCGCTTTGAAAATATATTTTCTATACTAACATAAATAAACCATGACGTATCTATAATAGAACAAAAATCACGTTTGTTTTTATTTTATATATCATACACTATAATAAAATAT